ACCAGCACTAACGCTAACCCTAACCCCAACTCTAGTAGGACGCCTATTTGGACTGATCGATACCTGAGGCAAATCGTCACCTGAGGCACAACATTCATAAGAGATACATATGCGTATTTTAATAAAGTAGACCTTGAAGTTAATACCTGCAATATGTTTTTTTGATCCAATAAAAATAAAGCCTCAGCAATTTATGCTCTGATCCTTTGCTCTTTCGGTTAGAATCATTTTATTATATTTCTCGCTATTGTATATGAACAGTCCACGAAAATATTAAGAATGAATATTTAACAGAAATTGAACGTAAACTTATAAATGAACCTCCTTACGGTCTAGCCAGAAAAAATGCGATAATTCTGATAACCACTACGACAACAAAACAGTTGGATCATTTTCTGAAAAGATTATAAGCTAATTTACGTCTATGTAGTCTGCTGAAACTTTCAAACCCTTGCTCACAAAGAATCACCGGGCGAAACGGCTGGAATGGACGAAAAAACATCAAAACTTTGATTGAAACCAGGACATATTCACAGACGAAAGTATGTTCCAATTATTCCAGGCAAAAAAATGTGGCAATTCATCGAGTGAAAAAAAAGTATTTCGCACTGTTAAGCATCTGCCGAAGGTTCATGTTTGGTGGTGTTTTTCTGCTTCGGGTTAGGTAAACTGGTATATTTCCAACAGAATCTCGATGCCAATTTATGTTTAAAATCTATAAGCAGTCTTTTTGACTTCTGCCTCTGAGTTTTTTGGCAGTGATAACTTAGACTAATTTTTGCAAAAAGATCACGATCCCAAAAATTGCGACAAACTGGAAGATGGAAAAAAATATTAAGATGTTTCCTGGTCATTGATGTTTCCAGACCAAAACCCCATAGAAAATGCGTGTCAGTTAATGAAAATCAAACTAGCAAAAAAAACCTCAAACAGTTCATGGGTTAAAAGGGAAAATTGCAAAAGAGTGAAACCATCTCTCACCTGAACTCACTGTAAAATTGGTGTATTGCAATTATAGATTCGAATGGCGAATATATAATATATTAAACATTATAGTTAGTTATGTATTCTTAATAAAAAAAATAAAAGTTATATTTACTTACCTGTGGGAAAATTAGAAACAGTCAGATACTTATGGTTATTACTGTAAATACAAACATCTCTACAACATTATAACTTTATTAGTTATTTGTTAGTTTTTAAAAAAAGCTCTATTAATTTAAAATATTGAATCTAGTAAATAGTTGAGCAAAATTTCTAAACAAGTTAATATGTAATTATTAAAAAGATACAATTTGAAAGATGATAATTTTATATAAAAAGACTGAAAAATTATCATATTTCAAATTGTATCTTCTTAATAATTTATATATTAACTTGTTTAGAAAGTTTGTCCAGATATTTAAAAAGTATTATATTTTAATGTAATAAAGCTTTTTTAAAAAACAAAAAATTATTAATAAAATTATTAAATTTTTGCTAATAATTTATAATTAATAAAATTTATATGCAAATTAACTTAATATCAAAGATAAAAATTAGAAACAAGTGGGATAATTAAATAAAAAAATTAAATAAACTAGAATAAAAATAGAATAACTACTAAAAAAATAATAGAACTTATTGAGATTGTTTAATGAAATAAAATAATAATTGGACTTATTGAGAAAATAAAGTAAAATAACTATATCAATATAAAAATAAAATAAACAGAACTTATTGACATGATCTAAAAATTATAAAACTAAAATAAATGAAAATACTAAATTAAACAGCTTATTTAGAGTGAAGAAACATTCACAAGTATAATATTACAAGACAATTTCTATAATTTACATAATTAATAATTATATCACTATTTATAATAATATTAAACAATACTAAAAGAAAACAAAGACCAAAAAATAAATGAAAAATTACACAAGTCAATAGAAAAGAAAATATAAAAGAAAATTAAAATAAAAAAATTATAAAATTACAGTAAAAAAAGATTTTAAAGAAAAATTGAATAACACAAGATAAATTATAAGAAAAAATAATATTAAAAATAAAAATAAAAATAGCAATGAAAAATAAATATAATTGGATAAATATAATAAAATTCTAATTAAGAATGTTCTTGTTGAAAATAAAATATAAGATGTATCAATATCAAAAATAATTTGAGAGTGAAAAATATAAAAGTATGCAAGAATGTAATTAATTGATGATTATTTTAATTACTGATTAAAAAGAAAGTAATATTCACAAATTTTAGTTGTGTAATGGAATACAAGATAAAAATAAAAGATCAAATTAATATGAATATTATTGGATGAAATTATAATATTGTGCATAAAATCTAAAGTTATCAAACGTTTATATATTATAAAATGTATAAACTTCTTTACTAAGAAGTAAATACAAAATTTAATCCATGAATATGATAGAATAGATCTTTTCACAGATTAAATTTCGTATTTACTTCTTAGTAAAGAAGTTTATACATTTTATAATATATAAACGTTTGATGACTTTAGATTTTATGCACCATACACCATAATTTGTAATATCATAAAAATTATGAAATTACGAAATTTTATTGAGAATGATACATATGTAGCTTGTCGTATATGTTACACAAAAATTTGGTCTAATCATTTTTGATACGAGACTATCGCTATACATAAATTTGATCTACATAGTCCACCAGATACTCATCGAGTATCTTAATTAAGATTCTGCTTTTAGTGCTAGAAATTTATTAAACATCAATTTTGATGATATCTTATTTTACGAATTATAACATAAATGTTAAAATCAAATATTAGCAGATAGCAATGATTTTATGAATTTTAACGTTAACTCACTATATCAAGATTTTGATTAGTCTCCACTATAAAGGAGATTCACTATAAAGAGCGTGACTGTATTCGAAATTTCCTATCAATGCTAAATTGGTACATGTACAATATTTTGATCTGCAAACTGTGTTCTTTTTTTAATAACGATAACGATAAGAATTATTAATTGAATTCTAAATCAGGATACTAATATATGTATAAAATATATCGATTATTTAGTTATACAATTACGGAAATTACACGTGTAAAATAAAACTCGTTATTTAATTAATAAAAAACAGAATACATGTATATCGATAGTTTGTACACTGAAAAAGAACAATATTTTTTTTGAATAAACATTTAGACCAAGACAATGATACAAAGTATTTTTCAATTAAAAAGCAATGGATGAGAATGTAAAAAAAACCAATTGAGTTTTGACCTCTAATAAACTGGATATCGATTACAAAGGCCAGAGAAAGATGACTGTTAAATACCATGTATGCGTGCTCATTCTTCAACATGTAGCAGGCAACATGTCTTCCGATAAATACATGCAACGAAAAAATCAATTTTTATTGTAGAATTTCTTGAAATAGCAGTGATCATCATGTAATTGCACTACGAACATTGATACTAACACTGCCGAGTGAAACAATATCGATAAGTATTATACACGCCTGATGAATTAATTATTTATTCTTTTCATTCATTTGTTCACATAAATTGAGACCTTTTTCTAAAAGACACGATTCCTAATTTATTCATTTTTAATACTAAATAATAATGTTTATTTGTTCTTATTTAGCTTGTTCACTATTTGGTTTGCTCATTCGAGTTTTTATTCTATATTATGATGATTTTTGATAAACATATTATTACCTTGTTTCTATTTCTTCCATTTTTTAAATCTAAACTTCTTACGTCAAATACAAGACTATAAATAATGTGTATAGAAGAATATGATTTAAAAAACTGCAAAGAATTGGATTTATGCTGAAATAATAGTGCTTGAAATAAGAATTATATTAGGATTTAAATTAAATAAAATTTTTTATCAAGTTTAGAAGTAAAAAATACATAAATCAAACTTTCGAATAAATTGGTAGTCGCAGCTTCCGTAATGACGATATTTTCATCAGCTATTTGGATAAATGCAAAGGACTTGAAGAATTCCATTTATTGGTCAGGATAGTTTGTGCATTTTCGTGATAAATGCGGCAGTTTAAGCTGTGTTGGCTGCTTCGATTTCAAGTATATCGATAGCCATGGTGATATTTCATTTGCTGTTTGAATGTCCTGAAAAATAGTAGGAAACTGTGTATATTTTGGAGGCAATATGAGCTGTGCTAACAATGTGTTTAATGCCAGTATTGTACTTTGTTTGTGCTTAGTACTGTGATGAAACAGGGTGTAATACTAAGATTACTTACGGTACAGTAATATCGGTTATTTTCAGTTAATAATAACGACAAATAAATTAATCAAAAAAGCGAATCACAAATTATTTTTATTAAACACATCGTCTAGCATTTTATTTGAACGAATGAGTATCATTATCGGATACGTGAATACAGTCAACCTCGTTAAATCGAAGTGGTCATAATTTAAAAAATTCAGTTTATTTAGTGAATTCGGGTTTACTATAACTGTTCCCGGGATCAAATTCGGGTTTAACATCTAACGATCTATAATCTTAACACCATCATTTGAATGTTTTGTGTATTTCTTGTACATGGGAAGATGACCCACTTTTCATCAAATTGAATATAGACAACTGTGCCCATATTAAATAAAGGCTTGCTGCGGTAATTCACAACAAATTGTAAGTTCAAGAAAATCATGTTCTATTTACATGTACATGAATCAAAGATCTACTGTGCCATTGGTTTTTTTTGTACCAGTACGTATTTCTTATTTTCTCTCGTGTAATAATACATGTAATTCGCAGATTATGAATACTACGCCATTACTACGCCAATATACGTAGTATCGGTATATAATTTCTGATTATAAATAGACTGGATAGCGGGATACATTCTTTTTTTCAATTAAACATTACAATACAAACTTTTAAATTCAATAAAGTCAAATAGTCGATATTTCCTCTCCTATATTTTTAATCGCTAGCAGCAATAACAGTAGCAACTACCACCTCGAAAAAAAACAACACAAATGGAAAACGAAACCTGGGAAGAAATTTTCGAATGGGAAGTCGAAGAAGATCTCGACTTGGCAGGTCGTCTCACAATCAGATCAATCAGTATCAACACCGATAATAATAATAACAGTGACATCTTTAATCCTGAATTTTCATTCTCTTCCTCGTCATCAGAAGAAAGCGAAGATGAAATTTATGAATTTATCGAGACTTACAAACGACCAACTTATGCAAATATTTTAAAAGGATTTCCAGTGACATCAAACACCAAAAATTTATTACCACCACAATTTACAACTTCATACCCACGCAAAGCTTTGAATAACGAAACTAATAATAATCAATTCACTACAACAACATCAAGAACTGTTAACTACCCAAAAACTGAACTCTCCTCATCAAACGAGTCAATCTACGATAATGAGAAGGAAAAATATCGAATACAACGTCGTCGAGAACGAAAAGAAATTGCAAAAATACATGACCGACGGCTTTACGGACAACTTTTGACTGCTGAGGAAATTGATAAAAAATACGTTAATTTGAAAGCTTGTCGCAAGGCAATGAAATTCAGGAAAAAATCAAAAGACAAGTAATTTGATAAATTACATGTACTTTATTCTCTATTATTTATACAATAAAGATCGATTTTTGTCTATGACATCACGAAAACTTGTTAAACTACGTGTTCAAAAAATATACGTACATATAATTATACAATAAAATTGTAAATTTATTTAGTTACGTAACAATCACTAAATTGAAATAATAATGATCGATGCAATTTTACATGATGCGTTTTTTTTGACTGTTTACGATGCAAATAATTTAAAACCGATATTTAAAAAACTAACGACTAAAAATTTACGAAATTTAAATAAACTATTCTTTACCACTCTGTATAACCTCCTTTAACCTCAATTACATCATTTATTCGTTCGGGCATAGTTTCAATTAGACTAGTTAAAAAGTCATGGTCTGTTTCTATCCATATTTTTTGAATAGCTTCCCATAACTCATCTGGAGTACGAACTGGATTTTATAACCTTCTCAAACGTATATCCATCTCATTCCAGAGACGTTCTATAGGGTTGAGGTCGGGAGATTGTGGTGGCCATTCTAATACCTCAATATCATTATCGTAAAACCATTGCTCCATTAAATTAGCTGTGTGCTTCGGATCGTTATCCTGTTGGAAAACGATATTATTCTTATCCAACTCGTAATGCTCGATAATTTATCATTCAAAATTTCGTAGTATAATTCCTTATCAATGGTGCCAAAAATGCGTACGATGTTACCAACGCCGAAGGAAGAAAAGCAACCCCAGATCATAATACTTCCGCCACCAAATTTGACCGTAGCGGTAGTTTTACATGACGATCATCTAGTGGTTCATTTTTGCGTTTCCAACAATATGACCCATATATCATAAACTTAGACTCGTCTGACCAAATCACCCTGTTCCAATCATCCACCGTCCAATCCTTGTATTTCTTAGCAAATTTTAAACGCAATTTTTGATGTGTTTTTTTTTCAAATATGGTTTTTTTCGTTTAATTCTAGCAGAAAAACCATTTATACGTAAAGTTCTTCTTATATTATCGCTTACATTGATTTTATTATTAGTTTGTAATTTTTTTGAATCTATACAGCATTAGAACATTCACCACTCGAAATATATCGTATAATATTACGTTCATCATGGCCTGTAAAAAATTGTAGGCGGCCAGATTTTGGCAAATCCTTTACAGAACCAATAGTTTCTATTTTTTTTTTTTTAAGTCGGATAACAGAAGATTGCGCAATATTTTCTTTTGATGCGATATAACGGGAAGAGAATCCTTCTTGAAGAAGGGCAGAAATTCGTGATCTTTGTTCGATAGTGATACGACCCATATTGATGTAGCGATATGTTTATTAAAATAAAATGAAAAACTATACTAATAGGTATAACTTGTATTTCCCTTTTTGTATATATTTATTTGCACATGTTAATAACATGTACGTAAAATCACGAGATATTACCATTATTATTATGATGCAAAACATATGACGGCCACTGTATCTGATCTTTTAAAGTTATTCTTTGATTAGCATCTGTTATAATCGACTCGCATGGTTAACCATCTTTTCAAAAATATCAATGTTGGACAACAAGAAATGACTACGTACTGTAATTCCAACATTGCTGACACTATTACGATACTTGACGTAAACTTCCAAATAAACTTCATTAATTAACCTTTCTGCGATAAATATGATATACGACCACAACCACAAAACAGTTGGATTATTTTTCGAAGTTAATATAGACTTAATGCTGGACAAACTGATGTAGAAACATTTATCGCAAGATTCATAAATATAAACCAAAAACACGAGAATTCCAAGAAAAATATTTATTTTTCGAAAACATAAAATATTTACGTACTTCTCATGTCAAATCCGAGAGGCAGCAACTCAACAACTCAGTATAATTCAAATAGTAATTTAATTTTGCACATAACATTACGTACTATTAACACTATTGATCATCAGCACGACTTTTCTACTATATCCTAGTACATGTATAATGAAGCTTCTTTATTGATAGATTCGATAATGATCGAAGATTGAACTTGTACCAGATTCGTCAGATTTACCCATACCGCCATTACAAGATAGTTTCCACATAATCATGATATAAAGTATTCATCTTAATTACGATTGATGATTCCTATTATTTTCTCCTTGCTCGTAGTCATTATTACGTAAATTTTATATGTTAAGCGCGTCGAAAATTGGAACCCCTAGACTTTCCTTATTATTTAGTTTCAAATAATATGTATGCATCTAACTAGAAGGTTCAATGTGTTATATTATTACGTTAAACATTATTTTCCTATTTTAAAATGTATGTCTGTACATACGTATAAAGCATTGTTCATTTGAAAGTGCATAAAAAATAAACAGAGTTAAAAGATAAATTGTGAAAAAAATGTTTATTATTTTTATGCTACATGCTTTAGCGATACTTCCATCCCTATAAGAAATAATAGTATGTTAAAGCACGTAAATTTATTGAAAGCACGTAAAATGACTGTCATTGGTACGGAAAATTTTTTCCGTTTATTTTTGTGACATGGAAACACCCGTAAAAAAGAAAGGTTGTTTTGAAAACCATGTAAAAGCATGGAAACCAACGTAAAGAAACACGTAAAAAAAGATAATTTAAAAGTACGGAAAATTACTGTAAAGTTTGAATGGAAATTCATATAGTCAAAACATTACACAAGAGAGAGTAGAACACCCCCAGCAGTAACACAATATAAAGTAAGTGTGAATGGTAAGTGGGTAGCAGTTGGTCACATCACTTTTATTGTGTAAAGTTTCGCGCACCCTCCCTTTTCGCAGAATACAGTATTGGCATTTGGTAGGTTCACATCTTCTAACGTGTCTATCTTTGTAACGAGTCACGTAGGTTCCCGGGTACTCATGATGACAAATAGCACGTTACCGTTGATGCGTGCATCCCTTTCAAAAAAAAGAAGAAATAATAATATAATGGTGCGTGAGGACTTCGTGTGCCTCTTATGCGCTCAGAAAGCCAAAAGCAGACGTGTGAGACTCCAATACGTCAGTCAATAATTGAAAGACTTTGCAAATGAACGTCAGGCAATACAGAGAGATTGACTACTTAAATTAATCTTTTTTGGTATTCAGACGAACAGCCTGGCGTGTGCGCCTCTGACGTGCCCGCTTGTATCGTGCCTTTTACGCGTCTGAATAGCACTGCATGACCGCATCAGCCATTGCATTTGGGCGGGCGGGAACTGTATATATTAAGGTTTAAACGTTGGAGTCATATAACTCTTACGCGAATAAATAAAGCCCGAATTAACGGATAGTGTTATCCGTTCTCAGTGGCCATTGGCCACTAAACCAAACTTATACGATCGAGAGAGAAGTTTTGACGTAAATACAATCCTAAAAATATGCCAGTAAATCTGAAATGGAGTTGCGTGCGGAGCACATCTATATATGACATCACCTGAGATAATACGTCATGTGTGCTATGCACGCAACCAAGATGTTAATTGGTCTGTCTGATCGATCCAGTTCGGTACGAGGACTGACTTAGTGGGACTGGTAGATGGGACAGTCCAGAACCTAATTATAACGCGAATGATTCATCAAGCCCAATAGAAATAGTGTAAATTATATAGTAAATTCTAATACAATTTACAGTGCTCGTCATATATAATGAGAAAAATATGCCTTTTTTATGTTTGCATTATAAAAACTGCTTGAAAATATATAAAAATTTACAGATATATACTTTGATATATTGCGAGCAGGTTTTCTTAAGACTACTCAGTAACACATCTTATTTCTATTATTTGATTTTAATTCTGATATGATTCTATAAATTTAATTAAAAAATTTTCATTTTTGGCTTTTTTACTAAGTTGCCTTAAGAAAACTTGTTTGCAATATATCAAAGTATATATTTAAATTTTTATATTTTCGATCAATTTTCATGATGTAATAAAAACTACCATTTAGATTAATTGACTTAGTTTCATTTATAGTGTACTATCAGGATTCGATCAGATAATTGGAAGTAATTACAATAAGTTATTCTATAAAGTAGCCTTAAGTAAACTTGATCGCAATATATGAAATCATATATCTGCAAATTTTCAATTTTTTTTCTAGCAAAATAAGGAAAAACAGTATTCTCGTTATATATGGTGAGCACTGTACACCGTTTCCATTGCACTCATCCCGTACTGGTGTCTTTCGTCTGAAATTAAATTGTAATGCTCAGAATAATCAATATTTGAGTCGTATAGATGATGACAATTAATCATATTATAAATCACATAAATTTTAGTAATTGGAATAGTTTTAATGTAAGTGCGACAATTACACACACTACTGCCACCACCAGATCAACAATACTAAACGAGCTCACTTTGAGCACAAAGGTCAGACATTTTGTTGATTAATTATCGGAATGACAAGTTTTCACAGTATCACTACTAAAATAACCAGATTCTGACAGTAACAATTACCATCACCCCAACATTTATTGCCCAAACATTCACACTCACGCATTAAAAAAGGATTCATTTATGATCTAACTCTTAAGACAAAGTGAAGCACAAACTGTTTCATCCTCAATTTTGTATTGGAATATGCTGACTGTCACTATCATATAAAAAATGATTATCACATGGTCCAAATACTAATAACAACTCTCAAAATAAACTCACACAACAAAATTATTACCTAACAGCTGGTCTGAATTAAATACTGCAACAAATTATATAAGAATAATGTTATTTGAATTGAATTACAGATTCCTGAATATCACACAAAAACATTAAATTTTATTTTTTATATATTTCTTATAAATTTAACATTTTACGTGATATCTTGGGAATCAGTGATTCAATTCAAATGAAATTATCACCATATCAAGATGAATTAAATAATATTAATTTTATTTGAATCAAAATACTGGTTTTCGAGATATTACATAAAAATTTTAAATTTTAATTCGATTGTCAAACATACGTCACACCCCTACAATATATTACCGGAAATTTCAAAAATGAATGTCACTTTGGAACCCGATATCTCGACATCCAGCAATTCCATTCAAACAAAGATATCCCCATTCGATTCGCCTCGACTATACCAATCTAATGGTGATATCTTTGTTTGAATGAAATTGCTGGATGTCGAGATATCGGGTTCCAAAGTTACAAATTCATTTTTGTAGCTGTGGGTAAAAAGAATTCGCAGGGTGTGAATGCGTACGTCGTACAGACACTCAGATCACGTGAAAATAAGTACGTCACCGAATACATCAACAACTTCTTGTGCATGTCTTTTGAGATCTATTTTTCTGTTGGTCAGAAGAGAGGTTGAAGACATGCAAAAATAATAAAAATTTATGGAAAAATTATATATCGTGTCCTATATCTCGCCTCTATTATAACTTATATTGAATAGTTAGGGTCAAAGGGTAGGATTATATGTTACTCAAAATAAAGCGCGATAATAAACAAGATATAATAATATAGAAATTTAACAAGACATTTTCAATAATAAATAATCTATTTTTATTAGTCTATATACTTATAAAACACAGCTTCAATTTTTCAATCGATTACATTCGTTGTCGAATCGCTTTAAATTGTAGTTAATGTAGAATTGCGAATATTTCGAATTGAAATGACGTTAAGATCTAGACATGATACATCATATCTATGCAAGAATAACAATATTGGAATCTCGTATTTGTCTATTACACAAGATTCTAAATTATAATAAGGTTGAGAAATCGACACATTTCCCTAAACTGAAAAAGGCGATGGTGGAGAAGAAACAATATAAGCAGCTAAAGAACTAAAAGAACAAACTAAATGAAAAACAACACAACGAACTAATAACTAAACAGAACAGACACAGCGAATTAATAAACTAATGATAGAACATACACAACGAATTAATAAACTAGTCGAAAGAACAGACAGAACAAATATTAAACTAAACGAACAAATATACTAATGAATAAATGAAATCATATCTTATTTGTGATGAACAAGGAGAATCTATATTGAATTATCATGTTTAGTATTATATAGAGTGAGGTTTTGAAATCTCTATATATTATAAAAACGATCAAGAAAAGTTATCATGTAATAACTCTTCAAAATTGATATTTAATATATCAGATTCTGGGATAAATAGTTGCGAGAGTGAAGGTGAAGATGTCAGTGGAGTTGTTGGATTATTAGTGATGAATTGGTTTGATTGTGAAGAATTGTTGTTCGAGGCATTATTGATAGAAGCTTCGTCATAAATATCCGCATTATTAACATTTCCAGATAAATTTAATAATGAAATTATCGTTATTTCATTAACGTTAGACATGTTGATTGAATTATTAGTATTTATGGTGTAATTACATGAACATGTAATTGTTACGTATTGAATCTACATTATTATTAACGTTAATACATGTCCGGATAAAAAAGGAAATTGATCCGATGAAATTATTTTATTGATCGAATTTCCAACATTCGCATTATTAGTATTGATCGTGGAAAGATGAGTATCATCAATGGTTGTTGAAGTGGTGATAGCAGTATGAATATATTCAATTGTTGATGTTGTACTATTCAAAGAGGACGACCTAAAGATTTGTGCTGTTTCTTGTGGAGGTGAATTGTTACTCGTTGAGCTAGGTTTATGTGACGATGTAAGTGCGTATTTCTTTTGTTCGCGAAAAACCCATTTCTTAACGCTTGAATCTTTTGCGCTTTTTGGCTTATAACTAGGATATAAGCTTTTGTGATTCTCATAAGCTATTTTTTTCTAATATTTTGAAGAAATGCTTGATTTCGCTTGATAATTTTCGCCACTTTAAACTACATTCCTTTGCTGTTTCTTTGACTTTTTGTTTGACGTGTTGATTACATAAACGTAAATGCGCTTCATAATCTCTTCGAAAAATTATTCAGCTGTTCTGTGGTCGTGGTGGTTTATCAGAATTACCACGCTTTCTTGCTGGTTTAGTTGATTTTTCAATGGAAAGAGTTAATTGGTAAGAGTATTTGTTTAAAATTAGCAATTCATTATAGTTTAAATATGAGTAATTAGCATTAACGACGGAATTAGGCATTTTAAACATTAAAATAGGCGGTAAAAAGACAAAAATTCGTCGTTTGTTGGCACTGTCCGTTTGTCATTTTATATCTATTTTTATGAATGTTCATTAGTTTAATGAATGTCTCATTTTAGGCAAAACTTCTTGTCGATCGGTTGATCATTTACGTAAATGTTAGAAATAGATACGTAGATAGTACGTAATTAATGATTGGTTTTCATAGTACATGTAAATTCTTAGCCAATAAAAACGAAGATTGGTTTTCATAGTACGTACATTAAATTCTTAAAACTTGAACAATTCCCAAATAGATAGATAGTACGTAATTGATCATTAATTTAGCCAGTTTTTTTTATTGCGTTCTAGTTGTTCGGTTTTAGCAGCTATGCTTTTTCTTCTTGTTCGGCTAATTCTTTATCCTGTGCTTATTGCAGTCGTCACCTTTTTTCAGCTTCTTGGGCTTCGTCAATTAAAAATTAACACCATTAAATAATATCAATATTCCAAAAATAGTTTATTAAGAAGATATATTAGCATGAAGTATAAATTACCAAGTTATTATGACTAAAGGTATTACGTTTATTTTATAATTTGAAATGATTAGATTAAATTGATAATTTTTTTAATTAAATTTTAAAATAATAATTAAAAGCTTTACAAAAATTATGTTAAATTTAGTAATTTCAATAAAAATATAATATTGGCAATTTCAACAAGATAAATAAATTGACATCACTATTTATAATACAATGTTCTTTTATTAATATTTCCATTATAACAATTTTTTGACAATTTTTCTTGTTTTAAAATATAATTATTTTATAAGAAAAATTTTTTGACAAAATCTAAAAAATAATGGTAATATAATGCAAAAAAGAAGTAAATACTAATTTTTTTTCTTTTTGAATTACAATTTCTAAAAGATATCTTGCTACTTGGATAATATTTTTTGAAAAAATCAAGTATCCAATATTTTTGAGATTGTATCAACTATAAAAAAAAGAAAAAAATGGTCAAATATTTTAATTCTATAAAAATTATGGAAACTATATAAAAATATTATGAAACAACTTGATAATTAGTAATAATTATCTCAAAATTAGCATAATTTTAGAAATTGATTCAGAAAATGCACAATAATTCTGTACATATTTTAAAAATTTGTTCCAGCAAGTTTACAAGTAATTTATAAAATTTTTAATTATTTCAAAATACTTTATAGAATCAATAAATTTTTTTCATAAAACAAAAAAATATATAAACATTATTTTTATATTTGTTTAAAATTATTACAAATATGATCAGTTCTTATAATTAGCAATTAAATATTATTGATAAAATTATAAAGAAAAAAATCTATATATTCAAAAAATATCATTTAGATAAAATTATTATTATTATTATTTTTATAGACTTTAAGTTATCTATATATTATTCATATATTTCTAATAATTAAAGATATATGAGACTAAGTTTTTATAGTGGAAAAGACTAAAAACTATTACTAAAGATAAATAATATGTATTTGTATTATAATAAGCTAGAATAAAATTCAATAACTTTACTAAACTTTACTAAGTTTCTTATAATCTCAAAAATGATAATTTAAGACAATAAGTAATTGTCTTTCAAGTCAAATATAATAATTAGTTATTTAATAGTAATCTATTTTTCAAGATCAAAACCAATATAATTTTATTAAATTATCTAACAAGAGAATAATTGAAGTAGTAAGACTTATCTTTCTAAAACTAAGATACAAGTTGTATTTATAACAAATTATTAAATTTAATTTAGTTATTACATAATTGATCTCTAATATTTTTATTACTATTATTACTTGAATTATTTAAATTATTATTATTACTTTAATTACTTGAATTATTATTATTGCTTGAATTGCTTGTACAATTTAATAAACCAATTATTAATAGCTTAAATCTTATAATCTTAACTAAATTATTATCCAATTAATTTATAATATGAATCTATCAATAGAATATGACTACATATTTATATTATATTAAAATTATAAAAATATAAGTTTGTATTAAAATAAAATTAAAAAAATAATTTGAAAACTTGTTTTTATAATAAATTACTAATTTTTTAAAATAATAATACTTATATTTTCTTAATTTTATTAAAAATACTTTGCAAATTAAGATATTTGATTTAATAAAACAAAAAATATATTCAATATAATTCAAAAATTATATAATATTATTAATTTTATTTAAAGAAAAATATAATTTTCTTTATATTTTTAATATTATTAAAAATTTTTATCTCAAAAATATTATAATAAAATTCAAAGTATCTATATTATATTAAGTATACTTATAATTTATATTTTCTTATAATATATTTAATAATTAAAGTTTGTTAAGATTCTGTAATTATTAATAATAATTATGCTAATTAAAAAAATAAAAAATAATATTAACAATTATTGATAAGAATTATTATATTTAAACTATAAAAATATATTTAAATATATTATTTATTATAATATTAATATAATATTAATATAATATAATTTGATATCAAAATATAAATATATTAAAAAAAGTAAAACTTTTATTAATTATAATTATAAAATTTATTAATTAAAAATTTATAATTTTTTATATTAATAAATTGAATTTAGATTTTTGTATTATATATAATACAATTTGAAAAATATATAAAAAATTAGAAAATTATAAAACTGAATGTTTTTTATATATAAAAATCTGTTAAATATTTTAATATTATTTAAACTTGGTTTTATTTGATATTAATTAATAATAAATTAAAAAAATTTTAGAATATATTATTTCTTGAAATTTTACTTATACTATATATAATATAATACAAGAAATATTTTAATTATAAAATTACTAATAGCTATCAAGAACAAAAATATATTATTAAAAATTTCAAGAAATTTCATTTTTTAAAAAAAATTCTATAAAATTATAAAAAAATATTTAATTATACAAAAATTCTAGAATATAATTGAAGAACTATTTAAAAATATTTAAAAGTATAGTTAATATATTAAATTAATAGATAATTACTATCAAAATATACTATAATATAATATATTACCAATAGTATAAAGTATGTTTTAATCTAATTGTTTATATTATTTTTTATTATTTTGATTATTTTTTAATAGAATTTAGATAAAAAAATAGATTTTTGATAGTTTTTTATAAATATATAATTTTATAAGTTTATACTATACAAGTATATATAATAAATATATATTTTAAATTTTAGCAAAATTGAATTACTAGTTGTTGAGAAATTAAGCTTCAAAGTTTAAAAATTTGATTTTTTACTATATTAAATTATAAAAAATAACTAAAAATTACTATATAAAAAGTCAAAATAATCAAATTAAAAAAGTTGTTGATTAATAAAATTTTTATTTTTGTTTATATATAATAAAACATTATATAAATATATTAATTATAATATAAATATTATATTTGATTAAAGTTTAAAGTAAAAAATTTTTTATTAATAGCAAATTGGTGTATCTATATTTTGCACCAGATCATATCTATTTATTATAAGCATTCACTAGTTGATACCAACAGAAGTATGAAAATTTTTCTTAATTGTAATGGCAATAGTTTTGATCTGTAAAGAGACATCACTCCATTTTTTTGGAGTCAATGTATTCACAGAAGAATATGATAATTAGCCAATAAATATTAAATTATAAGCTAAACTGAGCAGTGTTACCATTTAGATTGGACATGAACATATAACAATAGTTTATCCATATTAAGCCAGCACTTAAACTGGTCAATTTAAGCAACAGGATAAAAGAAAATGTGAACTCGAATCCTAAATACCTAGTGTCACTTACTTTGTTACTTAATAAAGTCTGGTGTTAGCTACTGTTTTTTAAATATCCTGAAGAAACGTAGAAAAGCAGTTGTCCAAATCTTGATGAATTAGAGAATTTTATGGTGGAGGAATGGAGAATTCGATTATAATCAGAGATCGATGTGAACTTGTAATTCAAAATGAGGAGGTGAACATATTCCTTATTAGTAATTAGCAATAAAAATTGTTAGTTTCTAGTTTTCAAAACGAGTTAATTCAGTACTCGTATTGCGAAATAAGTTTTTCTTAACACACCATATATTACAACGAGACAATTAAAATTCTTGAAGTTCCTCCAACCATGCAATAAATATCAAAATTTATCGATTTTAATAATAAACTTCGAAAATAAAAAGATCTAACGCTAATCTACTTGAACGTGGCTAGATTTTTGGTCTATATAAAGCAAATAAAATTTAAGTAAACTAAAACACATTAACCAATATAAAAAACGGGAAAAGTAAAAATTCTCTTTTATTTAATAAAAAGATTATAAGTTACGCTATAGTTTTGATCTATGAAATTCAAAATGATCTAATCATTTGCAATATGAAAAAGAAAAAAAATATCGTCTGCAATTCTGATTAATACAAGAAGATGGAGTACCGTAAATTTCCAGATATAAGCAACTCTCTCAAAATTCGGAATTATTAGCAATTTCATATATAAGCAATCTCTTAATAATTTATTTTACATTTATCAAATTTAATAATTTCCTCGCTAAATTCATACAAAAAATTCTGCACCATCCATTTGAAAGAATGTTTGATTTGCATAATTCACGATGGAAATTTTTTGGCAACAGTATAAGAGGAACAGATTTTTTTGGCATTTTATATGTAAACAATTATATTGGTGCAGACTATTTGGTATTATATAAATATTTTGCATAATTTCATCAATCAGTATTGTTGGATCACGGTTATAATCATTGTTAAATGTTCCACCCATAAAAATCACATCTGAAATTTGTTCAAAAAGGGTTACTTATATCTGGTACCTCTATAATAACAGCATCTTGATATATTGACAAAATATAGTGATCTCACAGAATATTGTGAACACTTTTTAAAATATAATAATGCAAAAACCAATAAAGAAGTGAGATTTATGATTCTAAGCTAATAGAATCATTGAAATATATTGTACATTGTATCAAAAGTTCAAGTGGTTTCGATAACCAGTTCAATATATATATAAATATAAAGATAAAAAATAAAATTTAGTATCAAACTGAAAATTTATGCGAAAAAAATATTCTATTTTATAAAGATGCAAATATCTTCATATTCAGTAAACCAAATTAAATAATTTTATATCATCAAATTTACCAAGTCAAAATGTATCTAATGATATCAAAATCATATAATTTGGACACTTGATGCAGAGATATAATGTCTCAAAAATACCATACAAAAATTGAAGGTAAAAAATATTTTAAAGAAAACCATTTTGCAAATATCTCTGCATCCAGTGGATCAAATTGGATGATTTTGATTCACTTAAACAAGGCAAACCTGATGATATCAAAATCATCTAATTTGATTTTGTAATTGGATGCAGAGATATTCACAAAAAACTATTTTCTTCAAAACATTTTTATCCTGATTTTGTATGTTATCTTTGAGACATGATATCTCTGTATTTAGTAATTCAGATTGATATCATTAGATCCATCTTAACTTGAAGAATTTGCTGATAAAATATTATTTAATTTGATTTACTGGATGCGAAGTTATTTGCATCTTTGTAAAATAATATTTTTTCACATAAATTTCAGTTTGATATTTTATATATATTGAACTAGCTATTGAAATCTTGATATAATGTACAATATGTTTCAATGATTCTATTAGCTTGGAATCATAAATCTTGCTTTTTTATTGGTTTTTGCATTATTGTATTTTAAAAAGCTCCACAATATTCTGGGAGGCCACTGAAATTGGCGTAAAAATTACACGTCAAGTTCTCAGGAAATTGATTTAGGTAAGACCACGCAAAATAATTTGTTTTCATAAATATTATTTCACAACTGGTCAAAAATTATATTTATATTAAATACGCGGGTAATATACGTTGCAGTGGCTGTGCTGATAACTACTGTTTCAAAGAAAAGTCTGAAATGGAAACAGGGTGGTAAAGCGTATGAAGATCTAACTTCTCGTTTATTTTGGAAACAACGATTACAGTTGAAACTCGATATAAATGATATTTGCTAAATTTTTATTATATCATTACCGATGGTTTAAATACATGGAAGTATTGCTAAAGCATGTAATGTTATATTTTAACATAGGAAAATAATAATGACCAAAGTAAAATATAATAATTGAAATTAAAGTAGCTAATATAACAAATTCAAAAAAGATAAAAAATCGAATGAATCTTCTGATAAAATTCTTTACACTTTGAAAATTCTAGTTAATTGTATAATAAGGAAGGTCTATAGATTCCAATTTCGACGCGCTTAACATATAGGAAATCATCAGAATCGTAATTAAGATAAATAATTTATAATGGTGATGTTAAAACTATCCTCTAATGGTGTTAAGTGTAAATCTGACGAGGCATAAGTTCAATCTTCGATAACATCAAGTATATAGCATTTTCCGATCCATTTCTACAAAGAAGTTTCACTATGATTACATGTAAAAGGCATAGTAGAAACTTCATGCTGATTATCAGTAGTGTTAATAGTAATGTTATGTGCAAAATTTAAATTACTATGTGAATTATATTGAGTTGTTTGAGTTGCTGATTTGTAGCCTTAGGTTTTGTATTCCTTTGTGCCGCCTCTTGTGACTTGATTTCCATTATATTGAGAAGTAGATAATTTCTGGTTTGAATTCGTGTTCTTTGGTTTATACTTATAATTTGGATATAATTGTTTATGAATCTTGCGAGCTATTTTTCTAATATTTTGAAGAACTCCCTAACTCCATTTGCTAAATGTGTCCACTTAAGACTACACAAATGAGCTCTTTATCCGGTATTGACATAAATTAACTTCATAGTCTTTCTTGATCCAACTGTTTTGTGGTGGTGGTATCATATTATCGCGATTTCCGCAGAAGAGTTCGATTGGGAGAATTAGATAATAATGAAGTTTATTTAGAAGTACACGTATTCGTAATACATGTTGGAACTAGTCATTTTTTGATAAATAATGAAATTGGGACAGTGCAAAAATGCAGAAACATAACGATAACAATAAGACTTGCACAGATTTTGTGTTGTCCAACATTGATGAAAAAGGAAATTTTTGAAGAGTCGATGTTAACTAATCTAAGAAAGGAAAATATATCTAAAAGATAAGATAATGATATGCGATAGGGGAAAAATAGTCCTATTTTTATTTCTTCTGTCTCAAAAAGCTTTTTTTAGTATTAGAATCATGGTCATCTGCTAGGTTATTGCATGTACTGTACTTATCATTGCATATACATTTATAAACAATATGTATACAGTATTGGTATACTAGAATTATATTTTTTGAACACATTTTAACAGGTTATTTAGTCAATTTAAGTTAGGAAATAATTATTTTGTTGGTTCCTTAGAGCCTTTGTGCCCCATCGGGAGAACTTTGGTCTAAAATCGGAGTCTCAATTTCAATAAATCCTTGTTTGAGTAAATAATTTCTAATTCCGTGTTGAAAATAATACCTAATTATTAAAGGTTTTGGCTAATTCTGCGCTGTAGATCCAGATAGCGATAATGAAAGCGAGTATCTTCATTTAATTTTGTCTCAAATTTATTCTGTAGTTCTTTTTATTTTAGACAAAAATCGATCTTTGTTGATATAATAATGGTTTAATAAAATTGCTTGTCTTTTAATTTATTGCCTTACGACAAGTTTTCAAATTATTGTAATTTTTTATCAATTTCTTATTCTCCACGGAACAATGTCATTCCAATTTTCTCAGCAGTCAAAATTTGTCCGTAAAGCTGTCAATCATGTATTTTACAATTTCTTTTCGTTCTCGACGACGTTATATTCGATATTTTTCCTTCTCATTGTCGTAGATTGGCTATTGTAAATGTTTAATTAAAAAAAGTATGTATCTTACTATCCAGTCTATTTAGTCAGAAATTACATGTACATGTATTACGTATCAGGCGTAGTTTAATGCGTGTATAACAATGGCGATATCGATATGATTCACAAAAAAATGCAATCTGCGAATAAGAAATACATGTACTTGTTTACACATGTGCGTTATCGTTATGTGAGTGAAGATTATCGTTATATCGATATATAGTATCGTTAAAACCGAATTTAGTGCCAGGAACAGTTATCAGATAAACTGAATTTTTTAAAATTCTGATCAATTCGATTTAATGAGGTTGACTGTATATACATGTAATTTCCTATTACGTATTCAAGTATCCGATATTGATGCTCATCCGTTCAAATAAAAATGCCAGACGACGTGTTTAATAAAATTCATGTATTTATTTAAATAACGCGTTTAATCTTCTTGTTATTTATTTAGTTTGCTTTTTTTTAATATTAATTTATTGTTATCGTTATGAGCAATTAACTGAAAATAACCGATAGCACTGTATTGCCTCAGGATATTCAAACAGAAACGAAATATCACCACCACAGCTATCGATATATTTGAAATTGAAGCAACCAACGCAGTTAAACTGCCGCATTAATCACGAAAATGCACAAAGTATCCTGATAAATAAATGTAATGCTTCAATTTATTCAAATAGCTAATGAAAATATCGTCATTACAGAGCAACTACCAATTTATTAGAAATTGAAACGGCAATTTCTATTAGTTTTGACTTAAAATTTATGCTTTATTACTTTTAAACTTGATAGAAAATCTAACTTCTAATATGATTTTTGATTAATTTCTTATTTTAAACACTGTTACTTTAGCATAAATCCAATTCTTTGCATTGTCTAAATAATATTTTTTATACGCATTATTTCTAGTGTTGTATTTGAGTGTAAAATACTAAGAATCTTAATTAAAACACTCATGAGTGAATAATCAATGACGTTGCAGGAATCATAGTTGGCAATAAGTGTAGTATATGAAATCTGCGCCAACCATTTTTGTCATTAATAATAGTACGTAAAGTAGCGGTAGTGTCTGGAAAATTGTTATTAATGGTGATGTTAATGCCGATACTATTACAGGAATTATACTGAGCTGTCAATTATGTGAGGGAAGGCGCGCTGCCCTTTTTGTGAAACGAGACTTGTTGTGCCAGACTTAGTCGAGTATTTTTGGTTCCCGAAAAATAACTTTAAATCTTTTGCATTTTTGACTTATACTTATATACGCTTGTAGGCTATTTTCTTCAATGTTTGAAAAATGCTCCACTTCCTTTACATTATGTTTAACTTTTTGCTTGATATCAGAACTACTTAGACCTAAATTAACTTTATGGTTTTTTCGAAAAATATCCAACTGTTTTATGGCCATAGTTGTTTATTAGAATTATTGCGTTTTGTTTGGCAGCGTTTGTTAAATTTTCAATGGTGAGTGTTCATCCAGTTTCTGTTAAGATTCATTATTCATCATTATTTTTTTCTCTTTTTAAAGGAAAATGTGGCTGATCTTGTAAAAAAAATTATTTTATTTATACAAGAAAATTAAGGTGATAATTTTTAAAATTTAAATTGTTAAAAGAAATTTGGAAGAGAAAACCGCAAAATTTGGAGATGTTCATGGGAAAAAATTCCGGACGAGGTTTGTATTGATTTGGTTAAACAAATGAATCTACTGCTTATGAACCTTAAAATAAATTATTTTGCTTGACGATCGGATCATTGATTGTTGTATATAAGCTAAAATCAACTTCAATAAAACTTTCACATTGTGTATTTTTCTTTTAGGAGAAGGACAATAAACCTTTTCATTCCTTGTGCATTTCCCGAACTTTTATTCTCCTGATCACAATCAACCGAATAATATTTCTTGCCATTTGTTCAATAGGGAAAATAAAGATCGGAAATTTAGCACAAGTAAATTCGCGATTCAAAATTTTTTTCTGATGCTGTCAATCAGTAATTAGACTTTTAGAGAATACAGAATATACATTTATATACGTACACTCTAAAATAAGCTATTGGCATATAAAAATTGGGCGCATTTTTTTGTTTCTCATGTACTATGCAAATCACAACTATATGTGTATGATAACACAGTACACCCATTCAAAAAAGGAAATGACGATCTTATTTTTATCCTAGGCAGGAAGTCTCGAAGAATTGGAACAAACAAAGCTCCGGATCCGGTAGGGATCGAACACTGGCCATATGTCATAATATATAGCAATATAAAAGATCAAGGTTCGCAACACTTCCTCACTAAATATCTATAACTTAAGAAATAAATACTTAATCTTTTCTCAATTTGCACTTATAACACATTTAATAAATGACTAATTCTAGCACCAATTACGGATATTTAACTGATAATGAAATACAAATTTTACAACAATGTCCTTACCAATTAACTCTTTCGATTGACGAATTAACGAAATCAAAACGCTTTGATTTTGATAATCCACCACGACCACAAAACAGTTGGATTATTTTTCGAAAAGATTATGAAGCAAATTTACGTTGTCGTAGCCCTGACATAAAACAAGAAGTCAAACATACGGCTCAAGTGTGTAGTTTGAAATGGCGACAGCTATCAAGCGAAGTTAAGCATTACTTCAAAATATTGGAGAAAATAGCTTGTGAGAATCATAAACGCATATATCCTAATTATAAGTATAAACCAAGAAACGCGAAAGATTCAAACATTAAGAAATGGGTTTTTCGCGAGCAAATAAAATACACGTTACCTATGTCCACCTCAATGAGTGACAATTTATCTCAAGAAATTGTTAGGTCTCCCTCTTTGAATGATACATTATCAACAATCGAATATAATAATACTATTATCACCGCTTCAACAATCATTGATGATATTCATCCTTCCACAATTAATACTAATAATGATGCCGGAAATTCGGTAAACAACGCGTTTAATGAAATAATTTCATTGGATCAATTTCTTTTATCTGGAAATGTTGATATTAACGTGAATAATGCGGGTTCAGCAGCCATTGATGATATTCCTCCCACGATCAATACTAGTAATGATGTCGGAAATTCGTTTAACAACGCGTTTATGAAAGAATTACATTGTATCAATTTCCTTTTTTATCCGGAAATTTTGATATTAACGTTAATACTCATGCGGATTCAACAACCTTTGATCATCTTTCCATCAATACTGATACTAATAACGATGTCGGAAATTCGATCGACAATTCTTCACAACTAAACCAAATTCGTCACCAACCACTGATATCACAGTTACCTTCTATGATCAATGCTAATTCCCCAACTCTACCTTCTACAAATAACGGTTCTTTGTTAATTAACGCCGGTAAATTCGATAATGACATATTGGAAATAATTGCAAAGTATTATGACCTCGATGATATGAATGATTAGCAATAGAACTTATCCCTAATTCTTTTCAATCGTTTAATATTGAGATTGACGTGTTTAAACAAGTTTTTTGGATTATTAAATTTATCATTCACTTTTCCTTATATTTAAAACATCATGAATAAATAATATGATTAGATTCCCTAATTAATCCTTGCAACTAATATTTTAAGTTTATTATATTTATGCGAATTTCTTAAGACGCTTTGCGTGTTTTTCATTTATTTTAATCATTAATTCTGTCTGCTTTTTCATTTGTTTTATCCTTTTGTTCAGCTTATCAATTCATTCTATCT